TTTTAATTGATTCAATAAATAGAATTTCTCAGTCCAGAAACACTGAACCGAATAAGAGAAGACAAGTCCCCTCCTTTCCTCACTGAAGCTCATTAACTACCATTTTCTTTACTTTTTAAAAAAATAAATAACTTTACTGGGGGCTCTTACATATATTATAACTGTACATACATCCATTACATCAAGCTGACATGTGCAAATATTGCCATCAACAATTTCAAAACATCATCTTTATTCTTGAGCCTTTTATTAGCCTTTATTCCCCCCCTTGCCCACTCTGCCACCCTTGAAAACATGTAATATATTATGTAATGTTATTATCATTTATACATAACACACACCCATTCTATCCCTACACCTGATCTATGAAAACTCGACTCCGTCTTTCCAATTCGCAGCTAACTTAACATTCACCTTCTTGGTTACGTCACTTCTCTAAGAAAGATCTCCCAAGATCATTCCCCTCCTCAATCAATTCCATCTCCATTAGCCAAGTGTGCGTTCCTCTATGCACCTTATATTCAACACATTCAAACACAACTGCTTTTCTCGACATCAATGGCCCTCCCTGCACTGGCAATCCTGCCCCAGACCCCCACCCAAGAGTGACCAGCTTTACCATATCCAGTCTCTCTTTTTCTTCACTTTTTTGTGGTGGAGGGGGCATTTTCTCTGTCCTCCGCTTGCTTCCTCTCGCCACCACCACCACTTAACGAACAAGATTGGTGTCATCTGCCTAGATTATTAACTAGCCCTCTGCTCCACCCTTTCTTTCCCATTGCTGTCAAAGTGTAACAGAGAGGCGATACACACACCGAACACACAGAGTGGCTGCGAAGCATGCAGGCAGAGGGAAACGAGAGAAGTGCTTTAGAGCCCCAACACTGGACAGGACATTCACTAAGCGTGTAAGCGGATAGGAGTGGATACAGGGAAGTGTGTAAGCGGATAGGAGTGGATACAGGGAAGTGTGTAAGCAGATAGGAGTGGATACAGGGAAGCATGTAAGTGGATAGGAGTGGATACAGGGAAGCATGTAAGGGGATAGGAGTGGATACAGGGAAGCATGTAAGCAGATAGGAGTGGATACAGGGAAGCATGTAAGTGGATAGGAGTGGATACAGGGAAGCATGTAAGTGGATAGGAGTGGATACAGGGAAGTGTGTAAGCGGATAGGAGTGGATACAGGGAAGCATGTAAGCAGATAGGAGTGGATACAGGGAAGCATGTAAGCAGATAGGAGTGGATACAGGGAAGCATGTAAGCAGATAGGAGTGGATACAGGGAAGTGTGTAAGCGGATAGGAGTGGATACAGGGAAGCATGTAAGCAGATAGGAGTGGATACAGGGAAGCATGTAAGGGGATAGGAGTGGATACAGGGAAGCATGTAAGGGGATAGGAGTGGATACAGGGAAGCATGTAAGCGGATAGGAGTGGATACAGGGAAGTGTGTAAGGGGATAGGAGTGGATACAGGGAAGTGTGTAAGTGGATAGGAGTGGATACAGCAGGGAAGTGAGCACCAGGTAGGAAATCGGGAGGGGGTTGGGTGGGGCGAGGGGGGTTGCAAAAGGGAGTTGTTCTCAAAGTCAAGCCAGAGAATCAAAGCAACACATACGCAGGAACTAAAGAAAGCATGAGAGAATTTAACAAGTGGATGAATTGTCAGTAGAAACAATGGAACTTGATGATAAAATGATCTCCTTGTGAAAACAAAGAAAACGTGTTTCTTGTTTGGCTGCCACACGGACACCTGCCAGTAAGGACAGAGAACCAGGGAGGTCCAGATGGAGACTCCTCCTAATGTCTCACACTTCACTCACACAATAAAGGAAAGCTCAGTTATGGAACACTGTCTAGATTTTAGGATACTCAGAGTTGCTAAGTTCAAAAGTAACACACCAAAAACCAGACTCTTAAAAGACTACAATAAATTACAATAGATTAAATTAAACTAAAAGGTCATTCGATATTCATGAAAGGAGCTCCTGTTCGTGAAAGGGTAATGCATTAAGAAAAACAATTTCATGTTTTATTGTTTCAAGGTGACTTTGTAGTGGTTTAAGTATAGAAGCGGGTTAAAAATAAAAATTGCTGCGAGTGCGCTCCATCTGCCAGTTTTAAACAACCCCTTGCCTTGTTCCTCCGCCATCAATAGTGAGGATGCGGATCCCTCTCCCTTTCACGGGGTCCACGTAGCCCATCAATGCCAAGATTTCTCTAACGACAGCCTGCAGCGTTTCGTCCTTGATTTGTCGAATTCGTAGCAAATATGGAATAAGTCTTTCCTATATTGAGAGAAAGGTATTAAAAGTATAGTTTTAATCATCACATACCGATTTCACATATAATCGAAGTGTCAGTGTTTATTATTTTCTCAGTAATCAGAAGTGGAAGATGAGGCATCTAGGGCAATTAAAGTTAGCCTCTGCCTGTTTTTAAAAGATAAAAGGCTTAGTACCTTAGCCTGTTGGTGCTGTGGGTGAGGCGTCGGACTGCTATCTGCAAGGCGGCAGTTCAAACCCACCAGCCACTCCACTGGAGAAAGATGAAGATTTACATTCTCAGAGAACCCGATCCAAGACAGTTATTAGTTGGATTCCATGGCAGTGGGTCTTGGGTTAGGATTTCATAGAAATTTGCAAAGTATTCATTGTTACAACAAAAGGCTTGAGGGATTTTACACAATATTTTCTCCACATCCAAAAGTTAAGAGGCAAACGTGAAAATGGTTTAAGACATTCAGGTGCTAAACAAAAGCCTGGGAGTTTGGGTCTAACCTAGATGTGCCTCAAAGACAGGCCTACTGACCTACTTCCAAAAACGGAGTCACCGAAGGCTCTCTGGAGCACAGCTCTGCGCTGACACATGACATCGCCACGAGTCAGCGGCAGCTGGGCAGCGTGACCAGTTTAATTACAGAATGTGCGGTCCACCACAACAACTTAAGGAAGGGCACATTACCCAAAGATGTAGTCAAAAAGGTGAATAAAAGTGAACAACGTTCCTTTATAATCTTCTAAATGGGAAGTTTAAAATAAGCACGAAAAGAGTTCTAATGCAGTTTTGATAATACCTAGTCATTCAACATTTCAAAATAATTTTAATAGTATAAACACTAAATAAATACAAATTCAATGATTTACTCATATTTTCAACATTCCTGTGAAGACAGCCGGTGTAAACGGGTTTAAGTAAATTACCTTCGTTATTTTATATTTGAGAGCCGGATTGTTTTATTGAATGAGATTACTAATTCAATTTGAAATAAGTGATTAAAATTTGGAGGGTTTCAAACATGACAACACCATGAAATAAAAAGGTTTACTTAGGGTTGGCGTCCCCTGTCTTAAAAGCATGGTTCATGCTCTCTCACTGCCACTTAGCTGATGCCGACTCGCAGTGATGCTAGACGGCAGAGCAGAACTGCCTCTGTGGGTTTCTGAGACTGGAACTCTGTACGAGAGTAGAAAGCCTCATCTTTCTCCCGCAGAGTTGCTGGAGGTTTCAAACTGGCGACCATGTGATTAGCAGCCCAGTATGCTTCCAGATTATAAATATCTACAGTACAAGAAAGGAAAAATTGGCAGCTCTTGCACCATTCAACCAATGTGTTGAAATTTAGCTTGTATTTTATAAATGTTGAATCTCAAGGCGAAGATATTAATACTAATAGCATATTTATAAAAGGATAAGCAAACTAATAATGAATATAATAGAGCAATTAAACTGATAGAACAAGGAGAAGGGCAATTACAGAACACATATCTCAGATATGATAAAAACTTTAACATTTGTATTGGTCTTTTTAATTTTAAGACCAGATCGGATTAAATAAATCAGAAATTACCTTGACTGCCAGTCCTTTTCCTTCCGGGTATTCTAGGAGATGAAAAGTCAGTTCTTCCACCCGACTAATACAGAGCTTCGGATCCGTTGTTCTTCTTAATGCTTGAACTAATGCCCGGGTTCTGTTATCAATGCTCACTCGTGCAATAATCTATTAGATGCAAATGAAACAGATAAGGCGAGAAGATGAAACTACTCTGTTAACACCAATGTACTGTTTAAAATTTCTCAGGTCTCGGTAGGAAATTCAGCAGGTTCTACAGCTGACAAGATGAATACAGTGTACAAAGCCCCAGTGAATGCTGACTTGCCTTTTCTCGCTGAATGGATAAGCGCTTTTTCTCCTCAGCAGCTGTGTCTTTACTGGTAGGCACCTCAGCTTTTGGGGTCTCTTTTTCTTCTGTCGGAGTTTTGGGGTCAGGCTTTAGTTTGGGGACCAGGACCCCGATGTAACCACCTACTAAAGCTTGTACGCCTCCAGTTGGACGAGAAAGAAAGTTGGCAAAGCTTTGTTTCGTGGAAACGGGACCGACTCCAGGTGTCCCGCTAGGACTTGCAGCGTCTGAAGAGGGCTCTGCGGCTGGCTTGTCCCCGGTCCCCGGGCCTGGATCGGAAGAAGTGGATTTCCCGTCCGCTTGAACGGATTTGTCTTTGAGTTCGGCGCTATCTTGACAACGGTCCTTTTCCTTTGTTTGGGCCATTTTCCTCTTAGCCTGGAAGTACGCGTTAATGTGGTTGGACCAAAAGGCGAAGGACTCCTCCACCTTGGTGCTGATGCTCCCTGTGTACGCAAACAGACCGGCCTTGTGCGTCTCCTCGTCCTCCCCCGCCGCGGGGCTTCTTTCTGCAGGAAGCGAGCTCTTTGGGGCCGAGGTGCCACTGTGCTTTGTCAGCGTTTGGATGGCTTGTTTCAGGCTTCTCTGTTTTAACCAGCCACTCCCCGAGACTTTTCTGAAGATTCCAGAACTTGGCCTAAGTTGAGCTAAACGTGAAATCATTTCATTCTGACTGCCCAAAACAGCCTTTGAAACAGAGTGTAGCGTGCTTTTAATACGGGATATACGAATGCTCACTTTCGTAAGTCCCTTAGGAGCAGAGGTGCTAAGTTTCAAGATTCCAACGCGTAGGCCCTGCTGGCTTGGACGGCAGCCTTGGGTGTTGCCAGAATGCGCTTCACCGGGAGCCCATCTACATCTTATTCGGCTCCCATGAAAATCTCTTTGCGGACTGCTGGGGCTTACCCTCCAGTGAGACTGAGGTGAGCACAAGAAGTGAAGGGGTTTGTTTCTCTGCTTCCCACAAAGGCCTCTTGCATTACTAAGGAGGTAAATATATATATCGATCGTCAAACTAATAGACATAACTTAAAAATCACTTATTTTCTAGATTTTGATTTTTTTTCTCACTTCATGATTGTTTCATTTTAGAAATGTCATAATTCATGGTCTTACCTGAAATGGCAAAAAAAAAAAAAAAGGATTAGAATTCAAGGTAAAGTTGAAAACAGGTATAAAGTACACTTTTTTTTTTTTTGCAGTATACTCAGCAATTTGCCTCAAAAGAAGACAGGAAGACAGTAGTGTACTACCAGTACGGCTGAAGTAGATTTCATTTTAAGCTAATCAAAACCAGAGTTTCATTGAAAAAGAAGTTCAGTAGTAGGGTGTTTAGCAAGAACTTAAGGAGGTTTCTTAGTCTGATAAGTTTTTGTACGGCACATCATATGTAACTTCGACATATTGCTGGTTTCCTTTTGTTTTTTCCTTATTGCTAAATCCTTGACAGTTATATGTGATTTCTTGAAGGAATTTACAATATCAGCTTTTACTGTTCCTTCCTTGCAGACCAGCTATGAAATAGTTCATCTATACCAGAAAGAGCTGGTGGCATAGTGAAAGCCGAAAAGTCAACAGTTCAAAACCACCAGCTGCTCCATCGGACAGAGACGAAGCTTCCTACTCCCATAAAGAGTGATGCCTCGGAAGCCCACAGGGCCAGTTCCTTTCTGTCCTACAGGGTCACTGTGAGCCGGAATTGACTCGGTGGCCAGGAGCGTGGGGTTGTTTTGTTTATACCAGACATGCACTAGGTGCTGCAGTTACAAAGATACATGCGACAGAAAGCTAACAAACTTTTAGTCTCGGGCAAGACAGAGTTGCTATCCAGTCCCAGAGGACTCATTAAATCAAAGAAGTCAAATAATAGAAAACACGTAGCAAAGGATTGATAACCATAATCTATACAAAGAGCATCTACTAACAAGAAAGACATCCAATAGAAAAATCAAACAGAAAGTATAAATAAACCTGGCCAGTAGAAGAAATACAAATAGTAAATTTGTGAAAAGCATGCTTCTTAAGATCATAGAAGAATGCTGATTGAAAGAGCAATTTTTTTTTCCCTATCAATTGGTAAAACTTTAGGGGATTCATAAAGAACCCTGATGGTGACCTCTTGGGTTGCTAACTGCAAGGTCGGAAGTTCAAAACCTCCAGCAGCTCCATAGGAGAAAGAGGAAGCTTTCTACTCCCATAGAGTTACAGTCTCATAAGCCCATGGGGCAGTTCTACCTGCCATATGGGGTCAGTGTGACTCAGAATCCACTCAATGACATCGAGTTTAGTGTTAATAAGTTGGGGAAATGGGACACAGGGGCTTTTGGGTAGTCTCTGATGAAATTTTAAATGCTATCAAAGTTTTAAGTATACATATTCTTTGACATGTCATTTTATTATTAAGAAAACACCCTATAGAAATACTTGAATATATATATAAAATCTCAACTCACTTCCCTGAAACCTATGTATACTGAGAGCAACCCCCCTGGGTTTCTGACGAGACTGTAACTGTTTATGGGAGTAGAAAGCCCCATCTTTCTCTTGTGCAGTGGCTGGTGGTTTCAAACTGCTGACCATGTGGATCACAGCCCAATGCATATCCACTATGGAATCAGGGCTCACATATACGAGGGGGTACCCTCCCAAAAAACAGGATTTCCCCCCAAAAGTTATATATTTAAATTAAAAAAGGAACAATCTTATCACCTTTAAAGCACTCTCCATTACAGTTCATACATCTGTCAAATCTGAGAGTCCATTCTTAGAAACATTTTTCAAACTCATCTGCTTGGATGGCTGACAGCACCTTCCTCATTTTTTTCTTCACCTCTTCTACATCATCCAATTGCTGTCCTTTCATGTCCCTCTTCAGTCACGGAAACAAAAAGAAGTCGCACAGAGCGAGGTCAGGTGCGTGAGGTGTGTGGGGCCAGAGGCATGCTGACTTTTCCAAGTGGCCCACTGACAAGGCTGTGTGAGCAGATACATGGTCATGGTAGCAAAACCAGTCCATCTGCCATAAAACAATCCTGTTCAACAGATGTCCAAATGAGGTTTGTCATCAATCAACCTTTCACCCTTTTTGAAATGAGAAAACCACTCATACACTTGAGTTTTTCTCGTAGCGCTGTCCTTGTAAGCTTGTTCAACATCACAGCAGTTTCTGCATTTTTCCCCAGCAGGAAACAAAATTTCACAGCTTCACAGTTCTCTTAAATCTGCCATCACAAAAAAACGAGGTTCGAGCAAAACTGCTTTCATGAGAAAATTCACTGTGACGAGAGAACCTTTCCAGGCAATGCCATTAGTTGCACTAACGCAGAGCGACTTGCTCATTGCTTGCCTAGTGGGAAAAAGTGTATGAAAGCTCTGCTCCATCCGGCGCAATTCCGCTTTCGGGGTACCTCTTTCTACGTACATACAAAAGTGCGCATGCACATACACACATATGTATGATTCCCTGAAGAACTGACTGCGATTTTTAAAAATATAGTACTGGAAATCAATCCTAAATATATTCTTGCAAGAGGTGATTTAATAATTATGATACATAGATGCATCCTCAAGGTCAGCAGTTTGAATCTACTAGTCACTCCTGGGTAGAAAAAATGTGGCTATCTGCTTTATAAAGGTTTACAGCCTGAGAAACTCAAATGGGCAGGTTCTGCCCTGACCTACAGGGTCCCTCTGAGTTGGAATCTATTTGATGAAAATGGGTTTGTTTGGTTTGATTTCACTTTAGTACTTAAAAGGTACCAGATCAGTGGTTCTCAACCTTCCTAATGCCACAACCCTTTAATACAATACAGTTCCTCATGTTGTGGTGACTTCCAACCATAAAAATTATTTTCATTACTACTTCATAATTGTAATTTTGCTACTGTTATGAATCATAATGTAAATATCTGATATGCAGGATGTATTTTCATTGTTACAAACTGAACAGAATTAAAGTATAGTGATTAATCACAAAACAATATATAATAATATATTGTGAGATATTTCTAATGACAAATGAAATTTTGTCTTGAAGCATGGTGTAGCATGGGTGACAGTCTTAATATAACAACAGTAAACTACATTGCTACATTTTGCAACAGTATGCATAAAAAGCCA